ATATGCTTGGATATTTTAGGATATTCTACCATCTAATGGTTGTTATTCATTTAGATTAATCTTGTATTTATAATTTATAAACATATTTATAATTTATAAACTTTTAAAAACCTTTTCTAGTATATTCTTTTTTGTTCTACCATCTAATGGTTGATATGCAATAAAATTAATCTTGTATATATAAATTACAAACATGCTTATAATTATAAACTTTATTTGATCAATTGGATTAATAAGTAATAATAACACTAGTATTAAGCAAACCAAGCGTTGCTACATGCATAGCAATTTATTTAAAATTTAATTAGTTGCAAAATTAGGTAATTAAATTATGTGGTCTTAATTAGGAAAACTTCTGGGAGTGGTTTTCTTTGGAACAATAGTTAGGGTTTGTATATTAAAGATAAATAGTTTTTAGTTTCTTGAAGCAAATGGGGATGGTAGTGGATATATCTAAAATATGCTTAGATATTTTGGGATATTTTGCCATCTAATGGTTGTTTTCATTTTTACTAATCATATATAATCTGTAAACATGTTTAAAATTTTTAAACTTTCCTAAACATTTCCTAGTGTTTTCTAGTTTATTCTATTATTTAATAAGATTAATCTTCTGTTTTATATGATAGTAAATAATAAGAAATATTATTAAGAATTATTAGTCTAGTTTGCAATTAGAGTATAAATATTTTCCATTATAGTTTGATCCTATAGCATGAATGTTTTTTAGTATAGTTGAGCTATGTTTTGTTAATTAAAAATAGTTTTTTGATCTGATATATGAAACATGGGTGGCTTTGTAACTTTGCCACCTCTTAAGTTTGTAGCATGTTTACTCCTTGAAAGAGAAAAAAAAAATGAAAGCCTTTAGAAGAGAATAAAAGATTGCATACCTCTTATTGCAAACATGAAGGACAAAAATAAGAAAAAAAGGTTGGATTTGGAAAGAGTAAAATTAAAAAAGTTTTACCAATCATATTGTTGGGGTGCTCTCATGATCTTGCAATGCATGACTTAGTCTGGCCATAGGGCAGCTATGCATATACAACTAACTATGGCAGCTATAGTGTTGGCCATGGTAGTAACAACACTTATTAATTTTTAGGGTTTAGGGTTCAAGGAAATAGTTGAAGACATGTTTTAATCTATGTGACTGCAAAGAGAGGAGATCCATTGGGATATTCCCCAACATACTTCATCATTCTCTCTCATGTAGGATTCTTCTTGTGCAATTCAAGAAAGACTGTGGCCTCCTAACTCAACTAGTTGGTTTTTCTAGCCAATGAGCAAGTTGGGTAGCCTTGGATGTGCTCATCCTTTGCTGTAGTTGCTTCCACATTTCTTGGGGGGATGCCCAATTGTGCCATATGGCAAATTTGGGATATTTTTTGGATATATGGGCAAATGATGCTAGTATCACCTTGCAGCAGAATTCATTATATGGGCTGATGCATCATTCTTCCCATTTGCTCAGCTCATAATAGGCATGCACAAAGAAGTGTTGAAGTCCACTATGGCCTGCCATAAAGACCTCTTTATCAACCTCTTGCACTTCACTTAGCAAAGCTTTCTGATCAAACAACTTCCTGAAGGTTCTTGACATTACAATCATGGTGAACTAAAAGCCCTTGAAACTCCTCTGAATACCTTCTCAATCCCTGTTCACCCATTTGATCCGTGGGTTCTCCTTCCTGTTTGCCAACCAACCTTGTACCTCTTTAGTATGCTTTTGTCTCTGCTACTCCTCATACATTGCACTCTTCTCAAATCTTTAGCAAGGTTTCCATCTATATCTTTGCTGATGGACTAGTAGACTCCAACCTTATTCATCACTTGTCTGAAGTCTCATAATTGATACCTAATGCACTTTGCATTTCCAAGTCAGCATCGAACTTATGCCTTTGTTCAAGCATGTTTGCAAGTGCTAATGTAACACAATGATAATGGTCATGTGATGCTAGGAGAAGCTTTCATTTGCTTACTAGCACTGGGTAAGATGACCTTGACATAAAGGACCTTGGTATCTGATAATTCACCTTCAAAGGCAAGCCAAAAGAGGGCAAGGTCTTCCTTGAGAAAATGTGGAGCTGACAAGAATGTCAAAGACAAAGGACAAATGAGCAACTAGTGTAAATAGTTCACAGAATCATTAGAAAGAATTGTTAAAGTTCCTCTAGTATGCACACTATTTGGATCTGGCTTGAGACCATCTAGTAGGAATGCTAAAGACTAAAGAGCTACTAGTGCAAGTAGGTACTGAAATTGTTAGGAAGAATTTTTAGAGTTTTTTCAATATGCAGACCATCTGGAGTTAGCTTGGGATTATAATACATGTAGAGGTGGTTCTCAATTTGGCATTTTTGTTCAACATTAGAAACATGTTGTCGATATATAGCTCTAATTTCCATTAGAACCATATTGTAGTATTATGGGATGAGATTTGGATATATTATTACCATTAATCCTTTGAACTTTGGGGGATAAATAGGGATAAAATAACTACTAAGAACTTTCTAATCAAGCAATTGCCCTTCTTTTAGTTGGATTAAAAGAAGAGAGATAGAGTGTGTTATATATAGTATCAACATGGGTTTGATTTTTATTAATTAGTAGCTACTTAAAATATAATATACCCTTACCCCTAAATTTAAAATTGTATATATATTAGGCATCCATGTATATGTCTTTCCTCTTATGGAGCATCCACGGATGAAGGCATCTATAGTATGGGTGGATGATTAATTGCTTCGTATAGAATAATTAATTTATATATTAAAAAATATTGATAAATTCAATGTGGAAATAAAGGTGCTAATTCACTTTAACTTAGTAAGGGTTGTTAATCAATAATCAATAAAGACATTGACATCTCTAAAGGGGGGTGTAATGCATGTGATCATGGGATAAAATTTAAATATACTATTACTGTGGATCCTTAAAATTTTAGGGGATAAGGATGAGAAAAGGAAACCGAACGGAACGACAAGCATTACCCCTTTTTTAGTTAGTTTAAGGGGAGAGAGATAGAGTGCGCTACATATATATTGCTTATATAATAGTTGCTCCAAGATTAGAGCTGTTGGATGAAGAACAAAAGTTTGATAATAACACTTTAATCATCATTCTTGTAATTGATTGTTATAGAGAATAACAAGATCAATGGTAATCATGAAAAATGTTAGATTTAGATGAGAAAGCATGAGATTTTTAATATCATCATAAATGCCTATGGTGGAAATACTCCTTGAGAGCTGCATTATCCCATAAAATATTAGTGTGAACGTTATTAGTGTTGGCATTGACATGATCAAAACAATCTTTATCTTAATAACTCCTAGTGCTGTAAAGCTCTACAAGGAAATGAAAGAGACAAATACTACACCTGATTTATATTTTAGTTTCAGTAGGCTACTATTAGAAGGAGTCAAGGTCCATCACATTAGCTAAGTTTGGAATATCACCTTCATTTTTTACCATCCTAGCTATTGTCCACATGGCTTTTTGCCATTTAGTAGGTACCCTTCTTCATCTGGCTTCTCTAGTTGCTTCAACTTCTTCCTCTATAGGTAAGCCAAGGTCTTTGGGATGATGATGCCTTCAGAAGAGGTCATCTAGGAAAGTAGCTCACACCTGAGATACAAACTCCTTAACTTCCTCCATGCCTTATAGTATCACCTACCTTATCTCAATGCCCATGCCATCGCCTTGCAGTAGAATGCAACACCTCCCTTCTGCATGTTTGTTACAAGCTGAACAAATGGGAAGCATGATGCATTAGCCCACACAATAAGTCCACCATGGCCTGCCATAAAGACCTCTTCATCAACCTCTTATGCTTCATGTTAACACCCAGCAAAGCTCCCTGATCGAATAGCTGCCTAAAGGTTTTTGACATTACGACCATATCATTCTTCAACCTCATAGTGAATTTAAATGAAACTACATTGAATAACTTCCCAATCCCCATTCACCCATTTGATCCATGGGTCTCCTTCCTATTTACCATTTTATTCCTTACACCCTAAGCCAACTCTACCTCTTTAGTATGCTATATCTTGTTCCAAAAGTTGTTGCTAGGTCTTTATCTTCAATGAGGTTTTCAGCTATGTCTTTGGTGATGGGCTTGTAAACTCTAAGCTACTTGTCTGAATTCCTCATCATTGATACCTGATGTGCTCTGCATTTTAGAGTCAGTGTCCAACTCATGCCTTTGTTCAAGCATACTAGCAAGTGCCACTGTAATATGATGACAATGGTTATATGATGCTAGGATGGGCATAAATCTGATCCTCATATTATATCCAGTGGGCCAGTGGGGAAGGTAAAATTAAAAGTAAAGGCATCTCAACAAAAAGTGATTATACCATGGATCTATACATTTTTCCCTCCCTAGTTTTTGCAAAGTGTGAGGCAAACAATTCCACTGTAGGGGTAATGAGTTCTTGCATATTTGAAAGTAAAAATGCACATTAGTAGGCTTGAGAGAGAGATTTTCAAATTTCAGCATCCTCCAAAACCCTGAGTACAGCCATTTCTAAAAGATCTTAAAAAATATTCTCCCACTAGTGCGAGTTTCCTTCACACTTTCATTCTCTTTTGAAATAGTCAACAGTGGGAAGTGATGACATTATTATTATGCCTTTTTCATTCCTCTACGACACTTGGATAAGCTTTCATTTGCTTATCAGCAGATGATCCCGATATAGAGGATCTCAGCATCTGGTAATTCATCTTCAAAAGCAGCTTCCCCAAATGGCAAATTTGGAGCTGGCAGGAATGTCAGGACAAATGAGCTGAAACATGATCAGGAAGAATTGTTAGAGTTCCTCTAGCATGCACAACATTTGGATCTGGCTTTAGACCATCCGCCTGAGAAACAATGGCCATGACAACTGCGGCCAGTCATCAGCGAGAAGCACATATAATTCTCACGCGCCATTCACGCGCCAAACTTTTAGGGCAGATATTATCAACTTTTAGGACAAAATATTAAGAGACTTTCCTTTTAGGGAAGTATATTCTAGAATGTGGTGGAACGAGGTTCGTATGCTCGCCTCTTTCGCTTTCTCTTACACGAGCAGAAGGATCCCGTGCTGTGGCGCCGGCGATGGCCGCGAGGAGAAGCTGATGAATCGCGTGCTGGAGAATGCCGAGCGGAATCCAGAGTCTGTGATCCAAACCATGGATGCGTTTGCGAAATCGGGCACCTGGTTCATGTCCATCGGCGATCGCAAGGGTAAGATTCTCGATGCCGCGCTCCAGAAGAGAAAGCCGACGCTCGTGCTGGAGCTCGGATCCTACTGCGGTTACTCGGCCGTGAGGATCGCGTCCCAGCTGGCGATTCCAGGCAGCAAGCTCTTCACTGTGGAGATCAATCCTCGCTATGCCGACATTGCCAGGCAGATTATCGATCACGCAGGTAGGGCCATTCTTTATCTGTACATTCCTCACTTCGAATATCTCCAGGCCTGTCTTCTCAGATCCATCAGCTTCCGGGACCTTTGAGCACTCACATCGAAGCTCTCCAGCTTGCGCTCAAGAGCTCCTCCTTCGATTTTGTTTTCATGGATCATAGCAAGGATTACTACTTGGAAGACTATCTACTGCTCAAGAACTTTAAGCTCATTGGAGATGGCTCTGTAGTCTTCGCGGATAACTTGGGATTCCCTGGCTCGCCACAGTTTTGGAACTATCTCCACAGGGGGGAGGGCCAGGAGCTAGAAACGGAGTACCACCAAACGAAGGTGGAGTATCTTGACTGGATCAATGATACAGTCGCCATATCTACCGTTCGTGGATGAATGGTAAGTGAGCTACAGCGTTTTCTTTCTTGTTTCAAATGCTTGCTACCATTCTCAACTGCAGTTCTCTAGGTAGCTACCTTTCCTTTTCGATCAACCTGCCAAAGAAAAAAAAAAAAAAAGAACCCATCTCAGTCGTGAGTCGTGACTGATGTTACTTAAATGACAGTGGAGTTTTGGTCCCACATATTGCCAACCTCTCGTGAAAAGGTTTTGAAAGGTTTCTCTCTGGATCTGATGTATTTGTGATTTGAGCAGGAAGGGGGGATTGAGCGCTTGCACTTCAGTCATGTGGAAGGAAGTCGTCACTTTCCTGTCGTTCGGAAAGTTCATGGGGGGATTTTTCTTCCATGGCTGGGGTGGCGATGGCAGGGAGGAACAGCTGCTGGAGTATGTGCTCAAAAACGCGGAACGAGGTAACCCCCAGTCGGTTATACAGGCTGTGGACGAATTTGCACGCTCCGGCACCTGGTTTATGAACGTTGGAGAGGAAAAGGGCCGCATTTTGGACTCGTCAATCGCCAAGAAGAATCCTCAGCTCCTTCTCGAGCTCGGGACTTACTGTGGCTACTCGGCTGTGAGAATGGCAGCAAATCTCAAACACCCCGACAGCAAGCTGATCTCGCTGGAGCTCACTCCTCACATCGCTGACATCGCTAGAAGGATCATCGACCACGCAGGTTTGCTTCTTGCTTTTCTTTCGTGGCGAGCATTCCCCTCACTACGCCAAACTTTCTTTCAGGGCTTTCGTCCAAAGTGGAGGTGCTGCTGGCGCCACTGAGCCGTCAGATCGACACCATAAAGTCGACTCTGGCCAAGACGAACGGGCAGTGCTTCGATTTCGTGTTCGTGGATCACGATAAAGACTTGTACTTGCCGGACTACTTGCTGCTCAAGGAGAAGGGTCTCATCGACGAAGGGAGCGTGATCTTCGCGGACAACATGGGATTCCCAGGCTCTCCAAAGTTCTGGAGCTACATCCAATCGCATCCCCAGGAGCTGGAGACCGAGGTCCACAAATCTGCCGTGGAGTACATTAGTTGGATCCGCGACACAGTGACAGTCTCTACGTTCCACAAGCTCTAAGAGTCGATAGCTAGTCAAATAATAGTCAACTAAGTCAAATTAATTTACAGTCCACCAAAAGAGTCAAGATACGTTTCCACGTGTCGGTTTCTTCTAGAAACACGTAAATGGCGGTCGCCCTAACTGGGTTGTGCAGCTCTTTCTTCGCAGTCACTGGCTAGCCGTGGCGGTGAGGCTCTAGAGGGCGTGTAGCGCGTGATTGGTTCTATTAAAACCCTATTTCCCCATTTTTTTGCTTTTTAATCGAATCTATTGATCAATCTTTTAGCTATGGCGACGGATCATGCGCAGCAGCAGCAGCAGGAGGAGGTGATCGAGGTAAGTTACAAAGCAATGCAATGCATCATAGCGTTAGAATCACACTGTAGAATCATGGAGCTACTTTTTTCTCTTGATTGAGTGATTGATCGATCGATCGATTGGTTTCTACAGGAGGAAGAAGTATCCTCGCCCAAGCTTAGGTATCTGGGATGCTTCCAAGCTGCCGGGCAAAAGGCCACTGGCTATGTCGCGACGATCTACGAGCTCGCGAAAGAGAATTCCGGGCCGCTCAAGCCCGGCGTGGATAGCATCGAAGGAACCGTGAAAACAGTCGTGGGTCCTGTCTATGACAAGTTTGAGGGCAAGCCCATGGAATTCCTCGAGTTCCTGGACAAGAAGGTACCCGATCCATAGGAAGGTTTCGAGATCTTTGCTAACGCGAGAGCGTTTTCTCCAATCCAGGTCGGGGAGACGCTCGTTGTGCTGGATCAAAGGCTCCCTCCGGTAGTCAAGGACACGACCCAGCGCGCGTTCGATGTGGCCAAGCAGGCGCCCGACGCCGCCAAGACCGTGGTCGCGGACGTCCAGAAGAACGGCCTCTACGAGTCCGTGCGCGTCTACTACGTCAAGTACGAGCCCATCGCCGAGGCGTGGACGATCGAGGGGCTCAAGAAGCTCAAGACGTTCCCGGGCGTCCCGCGCTTCATCGATCTGGTAGCTCCCTCGGCGCTCTTCGGCGCCGAGAAATTCAACCAGATTGTCTCCACCTTCAAGGATCGCAACGTCCCACTGTCGGGCTACATCCCGCTCGTCCCGGTGGAGAAGATCGAGCAGGCGCTCAGGGCGGATCCGCGCGAAAGCCCGGTTGACAAACCTTCGTCGTGATCTAAAGTTTCTTCTGTATAACTTAATCGTTTTGAATATTCGCGATTATAACTTCTAGATTCGGATCGTTTTGGAATATACTCGAGACTAGTTGAATCGTTTTGAATATTCGAGATTATTAGAATCGAATCTTTTAGAATATTCAAGATACTTCGAACTGTTTGGAATATTCGAGATTATTATTATCGCTGGTGGACGATGAGCTCCAGTTTCTTTGGTCGCTTGTAATACTTGAGTAGCAGCGAGGAGCAAACCACGCTCACGGACGAGGCGGCCATAGCACCGGCGATCCATGGTGGAAGCCGGAATCTCGAGCAAGGATAGAGCACCCCGGCCGCGACTGGGATTCCCAGGACGTTGTATCCCAGAGCCCACACGTAGTTGAGACGAATCCTCGAGACGTTTTCCTGGACAAGTCGATGGCGGTGACCACGTCTTCCAGGTGGCTCTTCATGAGGACAATGTCCGCCGCCTCAATCGCTATGTCGGTGCCGGCACCGATGGCCACTCCAACGTCCGCGGCAACCAGAGCCGGGGAATCGTTGATACCATCTCCGACCATCGCGACCACCATGCCCGCGCTCTGAGCAAACGAGAAAGTTTAGCTGGAGGAAGAACAAACTTAAGAACTTACTTGCAACTCCGTCACTCTGTCAGCCTTTGCTTTGGGATCGGCCTCGGCGATGACGTCTTTCGGCTGGATGCCAACTTCTCTAGCAACGGCGAGAGCTGTGCCTCGGTTATCTCCAGTCACTATGAGATGTTCATCAGCTTGAGTGTGGAGATCACGGCCGGTGCCTCTGGTTTCATCGGGTCTGCGACCGAGATAAGGCCCGTGAGTTCTCCGTCGATCGCAACCAGCACGGCGGTCCTGGCCAGCACCTGAACGTCTTGGAGCTGCTCTGAGGCTTGCGGAGGAAGTGATGCTGCTCGAGTGATTCTTGAAGTCTCAGACCTTTTGCGAATTCAAGTATCGCCTTGGCCAGAGGATGCTCGCTGTTAGCCTGCGATAAAACCACACTTGTTAAACTGCTTTTCCTCCACACTAGAAAAAATGCTGCAGAAGACCTTCAGAGCAATGTACCGAAATAGCTTCGTGTTAACAACACTCGGCTCTCCTTTCGTGAGAGTACCCTTTTTCTCAAACACAATGCAGTCAACCTGGAAGTCGTTTTACCATACTGATGTTATCTCGCAGTAAGTAAATTTCTTACCTTGCGTGCAGCAGCACCTTTAATAAGGACGCCTTGCGTGGCTCCTTTTCCAGTTGAAACCATGACAGCAGTAGGCGTGGCCAGCCCCAAGGCGCAAGGACAAGCAATGACAAGCACAGCAATACCAAACTGAAGTGCTAGCTCGAATTCACCCATGCTCGGTGGGATCCAAGACTTGGGATACCAGCTAGATTTCCCAGCACAAAACCAGAAGCTCCATGTGAGAACTGATGCGCCAACAACCTGGAAAATGAACCATGAGCCTGTTATGATCAGCAAAAAGCGTATGCTTACCATGGAACGAAGTATTGAGATACACGGTCAGGCGAGTATCAGGCGTGAGATTCGTAAGCTTCGCGATGGCTTCAGACGTTTTCCCTTTGGCCAGAACCTCCAGGAACTTCCAGCGGAATAAACGATATGAGAATAGAACTCGTCTCGAAAAAGTCTGTCCCTTCAAGCGAGTCGTCGCAGATCTTAAAGCGGAGTAGACAGAGTAGAAGTACGCAGCATTCGTCCCGAGAGCTATGAGAACGTCCATGTTGGCCGAACCATGGCGTAGAGCATTGTAAGCCCCGACGTAGAACCGCCACCCGATGACGAACTGGACAGGCGTAGACAAAATCCATCTCAGTATCTGCCCGGTGAGCATGTTGATCACCTTCCACCCGACGTATCTCTTCATCGTGCCCGGAGTGTACATAAACACCATCCCCAGGAAGAACACCGGAACCGTGAAGACAATGCTCCATAAGAAGAGATTCCAATAGTGCTTGATCTCGCTCTTCATATCCGCTCGACGATCTGCTCCCATAGCCAAACTCGCCTTGTATACATGCGCCGGTCCTGTCTGCTCGATAATCTCTATGAAGCATCGCGGGCCTGTTAAGTCGGGATCGTAAGAAACCACCAGCCTTTCCTCCTTGAGAAAAAGCTCCACCTCCGTCACCCCAGCCAGAGCCTCCAGCGAGGTGACGATGTTTCTAAAGCCTTCCCGTGAATGCACACCTTCCAGCTGCAAATGGACCTTGTTTCTTTCCTCTCCAGCGCTCACCAGCTCGGCCACGAAGCCAGCCTCCTCCACGGCTTCGATGAGTTTCGAGTAGCTAACCACGCTGGCGTCGTAAAAGAGTTCGGCTTGCTCGGTCGCAAGGGCCACCACCGCACTCACCACCCCTGGGATTTTCCTGAGCGCCGCCTCAATGGCACCCGAGCACGACGTGCAAGTCATACCTCTCACCCGGATCCGGCACACTGATTGCTCGATAGAATCTTTCAAGACGGTCGCGTCGAATCCAGCGTCAACATTGGCTTCGCGGATAGTCTCTACCTGGAATGAACAAGGCAACAAAGACATAAGACCAAAGTTCTTCGCTTAAAAAAAAAAACACTTACTTGAACAAACGCTGGATGAAAGACGACCTGGGCTTGGATCACTGCCACCCGCCTCTTTGATGCCCGGGAGCCTCTTGAGGGCCTTCTCGATAGATCCGGCACAGGCAGTGCATTCCATGCCAGTTACCTTGAAGAACACGCTCTGGGTTTGCGCGGCGTAGATGTCCCGCCTGGGCGGACAGGGAGGATACTTCGGTATGGACGGATAGCGAGCGAGCAGGGATTCCGAAAGCGAGGACTCATCGCGATCCTTGGGTAAAACCATGTAGATGCCGCAGCTCGACATTGCCAGCCGCGCCACTGGATTGATCGACCTGGACATCGAAGATGAAATTTCAGGACGAAATCCTAGACTCCTGGAGATTTCTACCATACCCTAGGAGCTCCAAGATTGAAGAGAATGCGCGCCTTCGCAATGCGTGCCGGGAGCTTGGGTTTGAAAAAAGCCCTCGATAACAATCTCTACCGTCGATACGAACTAGCCACGTGGCAAGATCTTATATAAAGATCTTGCATATTCTCTTATACTAAACTGCCCTAAGCTGCCCTATCCCACATGCTCAAGCGAAGATGAAATTTTCCACTTTATATAGCGGTGAGTTCATGAGGTAGGTACTTCTTGGGTTGTAGAGTATGCATCTGATGACCCGTCTGTGTGTCTCGAAGTATAAGTCATATTCCGACCCATGGTGTTTTGCAAATTTTTCTTACTATCCGGAAGAATGCGAGTTCTTCCTTTTTCTTTCGGGAGGTTTCTTCGCTCCGGACAATTCGTGACAAAAGCAAGCATAAAATACTCACACTGATCAAGTGAAACGCATTGAAGCCACACAGGAAGGAAGAACTTTAATCGCATGGCCGGGGAGTCGCTCGTGACAAAATTCGAGAACCAAGTGATCTTGAGACATCCTCATGGCCATCGTGTTCTAAGATCAATTTCTTTTTCGAGAACCATGGTTAATCACTTTGCTCTCTAAAAACGAGGATTCCCTCTCGGAATTTCTCGTAACGATGGTGGCTTTTACGAGAAGATCCAGTGGAGCTTTTGGAAAATTCCATTTAAATCGCCGGAAAGCTCCAGATTGCCCAACGTTTGGTGGTATCCACGCATCCTGGCCGTCCAAATTCAAACGTAGGGATCCGTTCACACTGGATGTTTTGTTTTAGCGTGTGTTTAAGAGATTTTTTTTATGTGTTTCAATAAAACCCTTGCTTGCGATCGAGCGGCAATGTTTTCGGGGCAAATCCCTAGCTCGTCGAAAAGTAAGAGCGTATCGGCAGGGCAGGGCTAGATCTAGGCGCTTGGAGCTGGGCCTAGCGGGATCGGTGCTGTGAGCTGGGATCAGGCGGCTGCGCCTGGCTCTGGATCTTTGCTGGATCGGCGCTTCTGTGAGGTCGAAAATGCCGGATTTCCTAGCCGGGTGAGCGAAATTCTGGCTCCTCGATTCTTTCTAGGATGTAGAATGGGGGAGATTTAGTTCTAGGTTTGAGCGATAGACCAGATTTTTTGGCGCTAGTGAGCCAAGATGGAGAATCTTCGCGTTTTGGCGGAGTCGATGCAGCAGGCATCGGCGCTTCTATCCGATCAGGAAGGAGAAGAATCGCTGGACCAGTACTCGAGTTTTCTCAGCGTGGTAGCTCTTGGTAACACTGTGAGTACTCAATTGGTTTTCGACTGTATCTCTCTTAGATTTGTGGAATGCAGGGCGCTGGAAAGTCAGCGGTTCTAAACAGCTTGATTGGCTACGCAGTGCTGGTAAGTTCTTTTTTTTTTTCATCTCGGATGAAAAGTCTCTTTTGCTTGTGCAGCCAACCGGAGAGAATGGGGCAACCCGTGCACCTGTGACTATCGACCTGGAAGCTGACGATTCAGGAAATAAACGAGGGCTTACAGTACAGATGGAGGGCAAGTCTATGCAAGTTTCTGCAAGTAAGCTGGCTAAGGAAGCTTTGTCTTTGTACGAGAATCTAATGTGTTTTGTCTACTCCAGCCGACATACGACATTCTCTTCAAAACAAGTTCGGCAGAATGTCAACCGGTGCTGTGAAGGAAAATATCCATTTGAAATTGAAGTGTTCTTCAGGTAGATGTGGCAACCGATTGGAAATGTTACGCTAACTAAGCTCTTTATGTAGCACCACCCCTGAAGCTGGTCGATTTGCCTGGGCTTGAGAGTAGATCAGTTAGCGATTCCCTGGTAACAAATCATATCTTTGTGGTCTTAGTCACAGTTGATTGTTTGATATTGCAGGTCCGCGAGTACATCGACAGCAACGATGCTCTTCTGCTCGTTGTGATTCCTGCTACTTCTGTGCGGGATATAACGGGATCGCAGGCCCTGAAAATTGCACAGGATATCGACCATGAAGGTTTGTTCTTGTGCCAGTACGGGTTTCTAGCTTAATTCTTTTCGTATTTGTAGGCTCAAGAACTGTTGGTGTCATCAGCA